CACTTCCCCCCCCCCCCTCAAATTTATATTGTTGTATACAATGTGAAAACTTCTTCACCCCCCCCCCACTTTTCAAAGAAGTTTTGTTTTCTTTTTACAAAGAACAGAGAGCCACCCCGCATTTGTTTCTTCCTTCCCTTTGGTAATGTGCCTGTATTTTCCTCGAAAAAAACAGGCATGGTAATGGGGCGTGGACAGATTTATATCCCTGTTACAGGAAAATATGTCTTAAATTTGCGGGAGAACATGGGGGGGGGGGGGGTTGATGTATAAAAACCGATTTTAGAACCATGTGTCCAACTTAGCTCTTTGTAAAGCATATTATATTATATTGCATACACACACACACACACACACACACACACACACACACACACACACACACACACACACACACACACACACAAACACACACACACACACACACACACACACACACACACACACACGGGATAATAATTATATTCTATCTCGTCAGCTAAGGTCATCCACAGCCGTAACAAAATTCAGAGCCCCTCGAATGTAATAAGATTATTTGGTAAGAGAAGTCTCTCTTTCTTTTGCCCTGAAATTTGGAACGCTTGTCACTGGAGCTCAGAAAAACAGCAAAATCCTAATACGTTTCAGTGATTGCTCAAGGTTAATTAAAATTGGATTAAGTCTCAGTTGTGGTGTGTTAGTAGTTGCTGATATTTTACTACTATCTTTGCGTGTACATAATCAGTGTATGGTTGAGAAAGTTCTTGTTACTGTGAATCATTTTGTTCTTGTGTGAATGAAGTATTGCACCCAAAGATTATGTCATCGATTTAAAGCGCTCAGAGCTCATACTCGTATGGGATGAAGTGCTATGTAAATGCAATCTACTACTACTACTACTACTACTACTACTACTACTACTACTACTACTACTACTGCTGCTGGTGGTGGTGGTGGCGCTGCTGATGCTGCTGATGCTGCTGATTCTGCTACTGCTACTGCTACTGCTCTGCTGCTGGTGGTGGTGGTGGCGCTGCTGATGCTGCTGATGCTGCTGATTCTGCTACTGCTACTACTACTACTACTACTACTACTACTACTACTACTACTACTACTACTACTACTACTACTACTACTACTACTACTACTACTACTACTATTATCATTATTTTATTTTACATGTGTGTGTGTGTTTGAGTGTGTGTGTCTGTGTGTGTGTGTATGTGTGTGTGTGTGTGTGTGTGTGTGTGTGTGTGTGTGTGTGTGTGTGTGTGTGCGGGTGTGTGTGCGGGTGTGCGTGTGTGTATTACAGTTAACTGAATCAATATTGAATTACATGCGGGCATGGAAAAATAACCTTGTCTAAATTTACAAGAACTAATAAAAGAAAATAAGAGTTGGTATTATTCGATATTGAACTAATAGAGAAATCTGTTCTATATCTCAGAGCGTTTACTCGTACGGAATAGAGCGCTGTATTAATGCAATGTATTATTATTATTATTATTATTATTATTATTATTATTATTATTATTATTATTATCACTATTACTATTATCATCGTTATTATTATTATTACTTTTTGATACAAGAAGAACGAGGACCATGACCAATAAAGATGTACATGAGCTGGTACTGAGACAACCTGGATAAATTAATGATATCGGGAGAATAATTACATCGAGTCTTGTTCCTTTTGTTTTCCAATTTTCCTTCATCTCCCTCCTCCTACCAATCCTCTCTCCACACCCTCAATTCCAACCACTCTTTTTTCATCCTAAACAATCAAAATCTCTCTCTCTCTCTCTCTCTCTCTCTCTCTCTCTCTCTCTCTCTCTCTCTCTCTCTCTCTCTCTCTCTCCCTTTCTATCTCTCTCTCTCTCTCTCTCTCTCGCTCGCTCTCCCCCCCTCTCTCTCACCCTCTCTCTCTCTCTCTTTGGCTTTGGCTTTTTTTTTCCCTCCCTCTCCCCCCCCCCC